AGCAAAAACTGGTGGGATCATAAAATAGAGAAAGTCATAGAAAATGATAAAATTAAACTGCTCTGGGACTTCAGAATTCAAACAGACAAGCACCTGCAACATAACACCCCGGACTTAACAATTGTCGATAAGAAAGACAAAAAAGTCTGGATAGTGGACGTGGCAGTGCCTGGAGACAGCAGAATAGACGAGAAAGAACCGGAGAAGATAACAAAATACAAAGACCTACAAATAGAAATAGAAAGACTGTGGCAAAGGCAAGCAAGGGTAGTACCAATAGTAATAGGCGCCTTGGGTGCAATCCCAAAACAACTGGAGCACCACTTGAACACCACTGGCACTGACAAATTCACCATTAGTCAATTGCAAAAGGCAGCCTTACTAGGAGCTGCCTCCATCCTGCGACGATATCTGTAATACCATCAAACATCCACATCTGCCTATCCCAGGTCCTTGGGAAGGACTCGATAGGTAGACAAAATGCCAAATCCAGTCTGAACATCTGGCTGACTGTGCAGTGATCAATAATAATAATAATCTTTACCAGTAAGAATATCTAGAATTTGGTGGGAGAAATAAACTAAAATAAGGACTGTAACAGGATCTATGATAAGGCAACCAGAATGACTGAATAGAAAAGAAATATTATACTGATATGATTATTATTTTTAGGAATATTGAGGGAAAAATCATATATTCAATTGCTATTTATCAAAACAATAAGAATTGTATTAAGGATATTTTGGGGACAGAGGAAATCAACTAAAATTATTATGTGGATTATGGATTATAGAAATTAATTGTTAATGATTGTTTTACAAATGTAACCCAGACAACACACTGTTCACCAATTATCAAGTGATTTATTTTTTTTAAATCAATAAAATATATTACAACAACAACAACAACAACAACAAGAAGAAGAAGAAGAAGAAGAAGAAGAAGAAGAAGAAGAAGAAGAAGAAGAAGAAGAAGAAGAAGAAGAAGAAGAAGAAGAAGAAGAAGAAGTAGACAAAAATGCCAAATCCAGTCTGAACATCTGGCTGACTTTGCAATAATAATAATAATAATAATAATAATAATAATAATAATAATAATAATAATAATAATAATAATAATAATAATAATAATAATAATAGAGTTGGAAGGGATCTTGGAGGTCTTCTAGTCCAACCCCCTATGCAACGGTTTTAAGCGCAAGGATTGCTCAAGTCCCTTTTTTCAATGTAGTTGTAATTTTGAACGGT